TATATGTATAAACCTGCAGGCTGCAGATTTTTTTTTTAAATTTAGGGGGCAGGCCATTTAGCAGGCCAGGCCACCGGGAAAACTCCCGGTGCTCCCGATGGCCAGTCCCCTGCATGACAGTAGCTACAAGTTACCTTATCTCTTTTCACTACGTGGCGAGAAGGTATGACATGACGGACTACATGATGTAGACTTACAATGTGAAACAGTCGCAGAGCCTTGGCCGGGCAACTCGGAGCTAGTCTAGAAGATATGTCCCATTGTGTATTGTATTGTAGACATGAAGTATTGTGGGACATGTCTTCTAGACTAGGGCTGGCCACTCATAGTCATACCAATGCTATACTCACCTGTTTTTGCCTAGTAATAGGAGCCACAGGCACTTGGAACGTCTCAATAAATTAAAAAAAGGTAAATAAACACGAAATGCATTTACTACCATACTCTTAATGTTTCTCTACTCTATTTCGCCTATTATTGCCGATAATTACTAGTAAATGCCGGTCAAATGCTCATCTGCAACACACAAGTACATCGCATGCACGCCCTGTGCACAAACAACAACAAGAAAAGAGAGAGAGAGAATAAAAGACCACTCCTGAAACCTCTCTCCATTTTTTCCATGCTGCCATTATTCTATCCGCGATTTCAATATATGTATTAGGTACTATATCTCCCATGTGGGGGTCAACTCAAAAGCCTAGACTTAGTGGCACTTTGACCCTCACAGCACTCATTTGCTAGTAAGTTCACTATTTTTTTATATATGAAATCTAACGTTATAACTATAGCTGAGAGGGTCTATGTCCCCCAGGGTACTGCCGGAACGTACCCTGAGTACGGTCCGGTATACCAGAACGTACTCTGGTACTAAATACTACTATCTAATATGCCGCACCGTACCTCGCCAACTCCATTAACGAGTCTAGGGAGTTGCCTACGCCTACTCCCTAACCCTAACCATAACCATATCAGCTAGATAGTTACCAGGGTACGTTCCGGTATACCGGACTGTACCAGCCTAAAAAATACTTTTTTTATTACGAGAGCTCTTTTTTGATTTTGTATGAAAAAAAGAGCTCTCGTAATTTTTTTTACGGGAGCTATTTT